CAGCGTTTTGCCGTTTGCAGTGCGTTTGCCCTTGTCGGCCACCGTACATTGAGACTTAAAAAAATGTATTATTAGTTTACTTATTATTCCCTGACAACAGTAATTAGTTACACTACTAATTATAATGGTAATTATATTAAATTGGTACTCTTGTCCCTTCTCCTCATAATTCAGACTTCAGACGACAATTAAAATCCAGTTTTGTTTGTTAAAATCAAAGCAATGAATGTCAGCGTTTCCATCGTCGAAGGTAGTTTCCCTCTGCGATTACAAAAATGAATCCAAGGATGTAATTGGATTGTTGGATTTCAAATCAGTAGGGGGTGACAGCAAAAGTAGTGTTGTAACTAATTATTTTTTTGGGGGGTAACTGTAAAATTATTAGTGAAATGTATTAGTAATGAGTTACACTACTAGTAAATGGGGAAAGTAATATTATTACGGTAATATTATTACTAGTAATGAGTTACTGCCAGTAACACTGACCAGAAATCTATGCTGATTTAATCACAAACAATCATGTATATCTATATTTGCTTGGAAATGAATATATTTGAACTCAAAAAACATTATTGTGATACATTAGTAAAGTATTAAATAGAAATATCTCATCTATCTTACATTATTTATTTCCAAAACTTTTTTTTTAAATTACATTTTGTATTGAACTTGAGTCTAAAATGGACAGACCATTAAATTAATGTCAGTTTTTTAATACAATATTTTTAAAATGAATCTAAATTAAATTGTTAAATTTGACACCAAACTGCAGCTACCCCATGCCACCCCTCTAGATCTGCTACTATTTGATACTATTTTAGATATACAGTCACGCCAACCTTTCACTTGCCAGTGGCGACGCAATATTGTGGTGATTCATACGTGTGCATTACTGTTCACTATAGAGCAAACTACTGAGAGACTGTTATTAACATTTCCTGTTGTCTTGTCCTAATCGCATTCTGTTGTTCCTGATCCTGTTTTGAATTTTCTGATATTGAGCATTTAAAGCCTGATCTGATGTTTACTTGTAGTTCAACTACAAGACCTTTATTCTCCTGAGGGGCAATGGGTTCTGCTGTAGTAGTTATAACAACACAGGGTGACACATACAGGTAAAACATAAAAGACGCACATGAATAACTACACATAGTAAAACACATGGCCAAGATCAAAAGTTATATTTAACCTATATCTCTTAGTTTTGGCGGTGGGTACTGCAGCCGGGGGTTTCCTGTGATGGTCTGCAGTGTCCTATGATATTTTGGTGATATTTACAGAGAGAAGAAACTGTTTGGATCTGCTGTTGAGGAAAGCTTTGGGAAAGAGCCTCCCTTCAATTGCAGTTTTCAACCAACAGTAACAGGGTTAACCTGCAAAATGCCACTGAAACAGTTGTGAAGTGACCACTAGCCTCATGGGGGTCTGGCGGGAGGGCACTAAGGGGTTCATTATCTGTCATTTTTAAAACTATTTTTTAATTAGATTGATCATATAATCAGGTAACTTAAAATGAATTTTCCGACCTAACAATCCACTGATGATGACCACAACTCTAGGCAGTCCTATTCCATGGTTTATCACAAAACAGCAATGATGGTGCAAAATGAAGAGTATCTAAAATGCACAATTACTGCTACTGAGTAAACCCAGTGGTTCTTATGTAGGCAAAATACTGAATAAGTGATCAAAGCAGTGATTTTGAACATAGCAATAGACTCTTTCCAGTAAAGCCATTTTTTAAAATAGAAATCCAATTACAAAAAATAATGATAATAAAAATTCTGATGCATCATTTTACATTAAAAGCATGTTGATTGCTGCTACAGTAAAATAAAGCAAGCAAACCGAGCTGAAGATTCTCTTCCATCTGAGTTGTAGATGTAGTTTCTTCCACCAACGGCCAAAAGCATTTTTAGGATGTGTGATAAAAAAGTATTTGCTTCTGTGCTGGCAGGGACCGTACCTGGTTGTGAAGGTGCCATGTCTGATAATCCGCCTCTGTACACCTCCTGTTGAAGATGGACCTGAAGTCTATTTTCACCAGCTGCCACTCTGAGCGATGACTGACATGGCCGAATATCCTGGAAAATAACCACGCGTGAACACAGGCAATTTAGTTCCCAGTTATTGATGCACAGCTGAAAATAGTCTCTAACAAGGGTACTATTTACTAGGGATGAGTGAATACACTATTATCTATATCTGTATCTGTTGAACCAACTAAATACCTGTCTTCATATCCGTACTCAGGGGCTTAAATAAGGTATGGGGGGGGGGCTTAACTGGAAGTGGGTTGGGCTAACCGGACATTACAGCCTCAGAACATTTCTTCTAGATTCTTCTAGAGAGGTGTAAGAAAACTTTAAAAATCTACACAGTAGGCCTATATCTTTTTGTTTAGATTATTATTTTAAATATAAACTTTAAAGACCTGAACACAAGCTACATTCACAGAGCCTTCACTCTCTGATAAACATCCTCAACGTGCATTAAAAAGTACACAATTAAAACAATCAACACTGAATTTGTCAAAAAAGAAGCTTATTAAGTATGTATGATTGTTCAAAAAAACAAAACAAACACAATTCAGACAGAAAGAATTCTTAAAAGTATCCGGAAAACTCTCTTAGCAATATTTGCAGGAAATAGTCTGCTCAAACTTCATCCAAATTGCTAATTTTACAAAAACTCCATTAAGTACATCACATTGTCAGGGGTCATCAGTTTATAAAATGATAGGACAAATGTTTGGAACCTGACTGCCTTAAGACATTGTTGGTAAGACATTGTTGGTAAGACATTGTTGGTTAAGAGATTTCTTAACAGTAAGTGAATACAGAAAGGGGGCAGTCTTAATGCTATAATGCCCACTCTCAATCTCAAAGGTCCAATGTGTAACATTCAGGCTGATCTATTGGCAGCAATGGAATTTATTATTCATAGGTATTCATCAGTGTGTATATATGTAACAAGAGTCAATTAGTAAAATAGCCTTAACTAGCCTTAATTTAAGCATCACTGTAGTTGGAGAAAGTTCCATGTTTTAGTCTGTTAATTTGCGTTTAAAAGTTTACTTGCTAGCTTAAATTAGCTTGTTGCTTAATTTTTTGTAGAAGCTCAAGTTATGTGATCACAGTTGAACGAAGGATTTTAAACCAGTTTACATCTTTTGTCAGAATACATGGAGATATATCCTGATCCTCAATCAAAACACAATGCATGCAATGCTATACACCACCATAACCACCATTACATATGCTGACCTGAAAATAAGAATTGTTGTGTTTTTGTTACCTTTGAATGACCCTTTTATATTTACAGACACCTTTCAGTGGACGCAAAACCACTTTTGGTTTGTCTGTTCTGCACTACTGTTGAAAAAATGGCGGTTCAACATGGCAGCCTCCGTAGAAGAGGACCCACTCCCTCTGTAGATAAAAAAAGCTCATTCTAAGGTAACAAAAACACAATAATTCTTATTTTCAGGTAACACTAATGAAAACATACCTATGAATATTATATTACATTTCTGACAATAGACCCTCCTAAATGTTACACACTGGACCTTTAACTTATTTCTTCTTAAAGCTTTTTATTTTTAATGAATATCTATATTTTTCCAGTGGCCAAAAGCAAAACAGAATCCAAGGTTATGGGACTAACCAGATAAATATTCCATCTCCAGCTAAATTGAGCGGGTGTGTTTGTCCGCCCTAACCCCCCTCACCATTCATACCGCAACATATTTATCACAATCAATCTGTCAATTAGCTCCCGAGGCACCCGACCATGACAGGCACTTACTGTAAAAATGAGTACAAATTGATAAGAAAACAGTGCATGATGGTCTTATGAAAACTAATGGTGTGTCTGCCAGCTGAGAGGATCCGTGCTCGAGAACTTGCAAAGATGCCAGCGTCGTCTTTACACTGCAGCCCCCCCACAAACCCTCCCCCCCAGCTCTCCTTTCTTCTCGTTGAGACCATTGCTGTGCATTTTCCTATTCTCTTTCTCTCCCTCTCTGTCTCTCCAGCTGGGCCCTTTCTCTCTCCTGTAGAGCTGGGCTCTCAGTCTGTCATTTATGGCATGTGTCATGAAACATTGATGTAATTGCTGTGGGAACCCTTTGGTAACACATCCCAAAGTCCTAAATCTCTGCTGCAATAAGGGAGTAGTGCCATGTCATACCATATGCACTCGAGCTCTGGGCTATTCTAATAATAAATGTGAAAGAACACAAAAAGGAATCTTCATAAAATCTGGTTTCTGAGGACACGCTGGATCATACTCGCTTGCTCTTTCCAATTTTTAATGCTGTTTAAACTTTTTTAAAGCAAAGTTTCTTGTCTGTTTTCTCAGGATTTTTTTTTTTTGATCATCTCCTTTATGTTTTCAAATGGACAGTCGGCTGTCGCTGTCTGCTAAAGCCATTTGTTTCCTTGCACTCATATCTGCGAGACAGCCAGTTCTGATTGTCTGGGTAGACTTGAGAAATCTTTTTTATTCATGAAAAAGGAAACAGGCAGTCAGGAATGCTGAATCAAGTGGGTTAGATTATGATGCGGAGCAGCTCTGCCGGTTAGGCGCTACACCACCACACACACACACACAACACACACACAACCACACACTCACATACAGGTTTTACTTTGATTTTCCAGCGTGTTTGATAGATTTCATGTTGACAAATCTTTGTCACTCACGTCATGATGAGAGTCTCTCTCCAGGCTCTCCCAGACACCCGTCACGAACAGAGGCGTGTTGGTGAAAGCTGTACTTTGTCTCCTGCCGCCTTCGTCAAAGCTCAACCTGGATGCAAACAGCAGTTGCACGAGGCACAAACGCTAACCCCCCCCTCACCACCTCCCAAATGTGTGCACATTCAATGAACCTGAGAGTTGTCTAACAATTGTATTTCATAT